GTTGATGAGCGAATGCCTTGATATTTAATCGTAGTCACTTATCACCTGTTTTTGTCTTTTTCTTTTCAAGATTTTATTTTTTAAAGTGATCTCTATACCTATTGTGGGGCTCAAACTCTCAACCCTGAGATTAGGAGTCACATGCTCCACCGACTGAGCCAGCCAGGCGCTCCTGGGATTTTTTTTTTTTTTAATGTTCTTACTTTTGAGAGGGAGAGAGAGACCAGAGGAGGGGGCAGAGATAGAGGAGACAGAGGATCCAAAGTGCGCTCCGCACTGACAGCACAGAGCCTGATGTGGGGCTCGAACTCACAAGCCGTGAGATCATGATCTGAGCTGAAGTCAGAAGCTCAGCCTTCTGAACCACCCAGGTGCCCCATCCTGGGATTTTTTAAAAAGTTTTTAAATTTATTTTGAGGGAGCGAGTGAGAGAGAGCAAGAGAGAGAGACAGAGAGACAGAGAGAATCCCAAGCAGCCTCCACACTATCAACACAGAGCCTGATGTGGAGCTTAAACTCCCCAATCGTGAGATCATGACCTAAGCCAAAGTCGGATGCTTAACCGACTGAACCACCCAGGCGCTCCGCCCCTGGGATTTTTAATCTAGATCTATCAAATATCAGATCTAGGTCTGTCTTTAGCTCAGTGAAGAATTGGTTTATAAATAAAGGTGCGGGTGAGGGTTTTATGCATCCCAAAATCTTTTTGTGTTCATTTCAAAATCTTTCCTCGTAGTTCTTATGTAAGCTTGTAAGCTTCAAGCCTCACAAACCTGTATTCCCGCCTGGTTCCATGCACATGACATGAGGGGAGGCCACTTAATTGTCATACAGCTCTGTAGAGCCAGAACTGTGATTAACTCCAGTTTACAAGTGAGAGAAATTTAGTGGCTTGCACAAGACAGTTTCCCAGGACTTTTGCTGCTTGTAAAAATAATTGGACCCAGATGGTCCTAGAATTTCTGTGGGTAAAGTGAGGCTGGCCGGGCTGTTGCCAGCAGATTAGAGATTAGAGATGGCCTGAGGCTGGGCCCATGTCTCCAGCACCGCAAGATGCAGAACAGAGCTGTCATTTTTTTTTTTCTTTTGAGACATAGAGAATGCGTACGTGTGCACAAGTCGGGGAGGAGCAGAGAGAGAGAGGGAGAGAGAGAATCTCAAGCAGGCTCCATGCAGAGCCCAACATGGGCTCATGAGATCATGACCTGAGCTGAAGTCAAGAGACCCTCCACCACGGAGCCCCCCAGGCGCCCCCCTAGCTGTCATTCTTACAGGGACTCTGGGTGTGGGTTCTCTCTGGTTCCTGGTCTCCTGGAGTGGCCCCCCTGTCCTCAAGGCTCCTGCCTTGAGTCATGTGAGCTTTTACAGCTGATGTGGCAAACCCAAACCCAGTCTTCGACATTTGGAAGGTTATCACTCCTCATGATGTATGTGGAGTAGTTAATTAACTTCCCTGTGTTTTTACCCATCAGAACTCAAGTTTTCCAGTATGTCCTGGCCGCTCAGGGATGGTATTCTGGCCCAGCGCTAAGAACCTGGGTCGACTGTTAGGCTTTTGCAACATGAAAGATCCTCCTGGCTACCCTTTGCCCCACGGTGCCCATCACTGTGTCCCCCAGGGCGTCCCAGCACTGGCCATTGGACTGGGAACAAAGGTCCTATCACCCAGCCTGGAGCTGGGATGGTCATTGTAAGCCCCACACTCTGGCTCCCTCAGCCTATGCCCACCAGCCTCCTGCGAAGGCTGCCCATTTGTAGGGACAGCCCAAGGACTAGAAAGTGCTGCCAGACAGGGTCTTGAGGCAGCTGCCCTTCCGTGGCTTAGGTCCTGAGAGTTCCGCATTTCCCAGCTGTCGGGGGACAATCCTGCCACTCCTGGGCTGCATCCAGTGTGACTTCCATGTCTCCTACTCCTACAATAGAGCCAGACTGCTTGGGTCCGAATCCCCGTTCTGCACTCGTAAGCATGCCTTGGCCTCTTTTTTAGATGACCCGTGCCTCAGTTTCCCCATCTGTAAAATGAGGATAATAAAAGCACCGACCTTACAGCATTGCTGTGAGGATGAGATCAGGTGACATCTGGAAAGTGCTTCAAACCTCCCTCCCCCATGCTCATAAGCACCCTAAATACTGCCTCTTGCCATTATAGGTAATCACTAAGGATCATAGCCTTCCAGGCACTCCTCCCCGCTGCGAACACTGAGAAGGACAGATTCGGGGCCCAAGGTGGCAGTGTATGAAATGATGAGTGTGTTTATTTATCCATTCTGCTGCTCACAGGCATTTGGGTCACTTCCAACCTTTGGCAATAACAAATCGTGGTGCTGGGAACATTCTTCTAGGGCTTCTTCAGTGGACAAGCCTGTGTGTTTCTGCTGAGAACGTAGTCCGGACCGGCAATGCAGGGTCCGGGGGTATGCAGATGGTTAGCCAAAGCGGTTGTATATACTTACTGAATGCTGAACCATGCGATTGCATGTCCTGTGTTTTTTTTTTTTTTAAATATTTATTTATTTTTGAGAAAGAGAGAAAGAGCACAAGCAGGGGAGGGGCAGAGAGAGAGAGGGAGACAGGGAATCCAAAGCAGGCTCCAGGCTCCCAGCTGTCAGCATGGAGCCCTACACGGGGGCTCGAACTCACAAACCACAAGGTCATGACCTGAGCCAAAGTCGGATGCTCAACCGACTGAGCCACCCAGGCGCCCCTGTCCTGTTTTAATAAATGAAGGAAATTCAGATGTACAGCTACAGACACCACCAGGTTGCCCAGACATTGCTTGGAATCAAGTCCAAGGGTATTAGTTTCCAGGTGCTGCTGTAACAAGCTGATCACAAGCTTAGTGGCTTAAACCCACCCAGTTTAGCTAGCTTACGGTTCTGGAGGTCCAGAATCTGAAATAAGTCTTACAGGGCTAACATCAAAGGCTATATTTTGCCAGGGAGCAAGAATTCCAGGCCCTTTCTAGTTCCTTCTAGCTGGACTAAGAGTCAAACTGACATGAGACAGGTTAACAGGAGAAAATCAAATTTAGCAGGTGGACATACGGGAAGTCCACACAGACATGGAGATTCCAGGCACTCAGGCAGAAATGAGGTCTATGTGTCCTTTTTTGTATGTGTGTGAGTATTTACTCATTTTTGAGAGAGAGAGAGAGATTGACAGAGTGTGAGTAGGGGAAGGGCAGAGACACACAGAGTTCAAAGCAGGGTCTAGGTTCTGAGCTGTCAGCACAGAGCCCGACAAGGGGCTAGAACCCAGGAACTGTGAGATCATGACCTGATCTGAAATCAGTCACCCAACCAACTGAGCTACCCAGGCGCCCCTCTGTGTGTCTTTTTGAATGGAGGAGAAGGGAGCGGGCATGTCTGGGATTTCAGAAGAAAGGGATGCAATTTACACAAAGATGAAAAAGAATAATGTTCAGTAAACAAACGTTTGCTGGGCCACTCAGAGACAATGGGGGCAAAGAGAGGGCTTTGATCAGAGTGGCCTTGCTGGTAGGTTCCTGGCCACCACACCTAGTTCATGTCATAGTGTAATTATGCTGATGGCTCTCTTTCTATAGCAGGTCCTTGATCTAAATTCTTTTTATTTTTTTTTAATGTTTTTTTTTTTTTTCTAGGAGAGAGAGAGACAGCGTGAGCAGGGGAGGGTCAGAGAGAGAGGGAGTCACAGACTGAAACAGGCTCCAGGCTCTGAGCTGGCAGTCAGCACAGAGCCCGACGC